TACACAAGTCTCGTCATTATTTCGACAAGTCAATCTATTCTCTTGTGCCAACAAGCGATACGCTGCCGGCGCTGCACACTGTTGGCCAGAGTACGTCATAACGATATCTCATTTTTATCCTTTTCTGTATGGCCCTTGTGCTTGTCTGGTAGCGAGTGGAAACTTTCAACAAGGCTCACCACATGGCCGAGGCTAATGCAAGGACCAGTTTTGCGGAGGACAGTTGGACGATTCAGATCACAGTCGCCCAGCTGCTGGCAATCACATTTTTTCCACCATTTATTTACTTTAAGCTGTTACTTTATTTCCTACACATCAGGACGGTGCATTTGTTCGTTCTGTACAGCCACGGAATCTCTTCTTCAGGCCGGTATAAAGCTATTGGATTATAGAATGAATGCATTAAGAAGATTTAGTCCGTTGGAACCGATATTTGTCATCCTGATCATACTAAGCCCTACTTTTATACAGGCTCCTGAACCGGGTTCTCGACATTCACTTAATCGGCATAAGAGAAATTAGGTTAATCATATACTCTTATTTAAGATATGCTAGCAGTTTCGAAGGCGACTCAATGGAGACCAGCTGGTGGTTCCACCAAAATCGACTACTAAATACATTTAAACATCAGGCTACTAAGTAATTCATGAGTAGTATGAGCCCGAAAAGCTATCGTTTGACGAATTTCCTCAGGATCAGTTAAACTTCATTGATGCTCAGTTCTTAAAATAGTTGTTCACGGAACAACATTTGGGCCAACTTGACTCGGCTCGCGTGTGGTGTTGGAGATTTTTTTCCAGTTTCTTTTTGATACAACTCTTCTTTGGAAAAGCTTCACGATCCAGTGGCTTTTAGGTAAGATAATTACTTCGAGCTAGAGGCGATAGGCAAAGTAACTGTCTAGACAATCCTATTCACGGGAATTCGAGACTATCAAGCGTTTCTGATTAAGAACCACAGGCACTATCAGGCTTTCGATCACCTTTCTCCGCCTACAGTATGCCGTCAGACCGATGTCAATTTTACCAGCCGATTTGGTTTTACGCCTTCGCCGAACCTTTGTTCTTTCGTCTCCACGCAACACATATACAAGCCCGTTGTGATGCGTTTTCACGGATGAGGTGATCTTGACCATGAGTTGCTAAGTTCATTTTGGCTAAAAAAGGCTTTCTCGATCAGACAAAAACTCCGCTCTCTACTCGCTGCTCTCACCTCCGATTGTCCACACTTCACACATCACTTTCCCGATTCTCCAGTCGCCAGGTAGCCCCTCCACTCGGTTGCACTTACAATCTGGTTGCTTGGAGGGCACACATGAGCCAACAGAGCTCACCATGCGTCGACAACCCACGCAATCTCGTCTATATGTCCGCGCATGGATGCAATCTTAGATCGATTTTGTCTCGGTGTACGTGTGCACATTTGGTACCATTGCGAGAGGTGATTTTCTACAAATTGAGCCTTGTCGACGGTAGACAGTGGAGCGGACTAGAATTATGTAAGCTGTACGCAAGAAACGGGTTCATTGCATGCTTGTGCACACCCGAACTCCGACTGTCGTCTGTGTGCTGGGTTACAGACCGCAAGACTGGCCTGGCGGGCGCACACGTCGTCATCCGCGAGAATAGAATGCTTGCGTCGTTTCCTCATTCCGTTGCCTGTGAACCCGGTCCATGACTTGTTGGTGCGTTTCCATTGTCTAAAAGGCATGCATTCTCAGTTCATCTGGTCCTTGGGCGTGTGTTAAAGGGTCATTTTGCTCTCTACCCTCCCGTCTACACTCATGCGCCTTTGACCAACTCGAAGTGGGGTTGATCTGCATTTTCCCCATTTTCACCATTTTCACTCACAAACTCGCTCGGACCGCCCTGGCGCCTGTGGCCGGAATCTGGCTGAGGCAGAGGCGTCGACATGCTTCAAGCTGGACTTGGCGATTTGACACGGCCAAGACACATTTGCGCTTCCAATGGTCGGACTTAATTGCAAAGCGTGTCAGACTT